CTCTCCCCTCTCCTCTCTCCCCTCTCCTCTCTCCCCTCTCCTCTCTCCCCTCTCCTCTCTCCCCTCTCCTCTCTCCCCTCTCCTCTCTCCCCTATCCTCTCTCCCCTATCCCTCTCACCTTCCTGCCTGTCTCATCACGCCCACCTGCCTGCCTCCTCTCTCGCCCGCCTGTCAGGACATCACAAGCCATGCAAGTGGGACTCCTGTGAAGGTAAGTAAGTCGTGGGGAGAGGGGAAGAGGGAGGGTGGGCCAAGCCGAGTGAAGCCGTGTCAGTCAGCTGCTGCAGGCAAGCAACGGGCTGAGTGAAGCTGCCTCATCCCCCATTTCATTCACAGCCCCTTCCCTTTGCTTCTCTACCGAAATCTCCACTCCCAAATCCTTTGTGCCTCCCACAGCCGTTGATAACTCCTCATCTCTCTCACACAGTTTTAGGCTTTGCGGATTCTCGAACACATTTCTCTTTCCCCATTCCCGCCCCATGTGCCCCCAACAGGCGATGCTGACACCTGATCTGGCCCACCTCATTGTTGTCACTGCCAGCAGCAGCAGCAGCAGCAGCATCCGGGATGGGAAGCAAGGGCGGCAGGGGCAGCAAGAGCAGGGCGAGGCTGGCTGTGAGCTCGCGCTGTTTGACACCGCCATGATGAGACACAGGTGGGTGGGGGGTGGGAGGGCGGCAGGTGGGAGAGTGACAGGTGGGAGGGTGACAGGGCTTATGGAGTGTGGATCAGCCTCAGTTCCTGCTGCAGCTTCCTCCGCTCCTGCCTTTCCTCTCCATGCTCCCCCCTCTCCTCAAATCAGCCGCTGGGAGGTGCCGGCAGTGGCAACGCATGGGGCAGCAGCGCTAACAGGACTAATGGAGTTTGTTTCAGCAACTGCTGCTGCTACGGCTGAGAGCCCACCTTTTCCTCCCCCATACCCCTCCCCTATCCTCATTGCAGCCCGTGGGAGGTGCAGGCGGTGGCAACCCATGGGGCGGCACTAACAGGGCTCATGGAGCGCATGTGCATGTCAGCAACGGCTGCTGCTGCTACGACTGGAAGCCCCTTCACAACCCTTTCCCCACCGCTCTCCCTTGTTCATTGTTCTCCTCCTCTCCTCTGTGCAGCCCGTGGGAGGTGTTGGCGGTGGCAGCGCACGGGGCGGCGCTGACAGCGCTCTTAGAGTCCGTGTCAGCTACTGCTGCTGCCATGCACGGCCAATGGGAGGCCGCCAGCTGTCAGTGGCGGGAGAAGGTGCAGGGGCTGCAGCGACTGCTGGAGGAGAATGGTGAGCTGGTGGCAGGTGATTGGTGGGCTGACGAGAGGTGATTGGTGAGCTGGCGGCAGGTGATTGGTGGGCTGACGAGAGGTGATTGGTGAGCTGGCGGCAGGTGATTGGTGGGCTGACGAGAGGTGATTGGTGAGCTTGCGGCAGGTGATTGGTGAGATGCCCTACCCTTTTGCCCTTTTTCTACCTGCGATTTGAGAGTTTTTCCACAACTCAAAACCATGCCCTTGCTATGCCCCTGCCTGCCCCGTGCTCCAACCATGTCTCAGATTGCCCCGCAGGCCCTCGCTTAGAGCTGCTGTACATGCTCGCAACAGGGGCTGCTGGGTCGAGTTGTGCCACCACCACTCAAAACTGTGCCCTTGCAAATCTGCAATGCCCTCGCCCGCCCCTTGTTCCCGTGTCTCAGACTGCCCCTCGGACCCTCGCTCAGAGCTCCTGTACATGCTGGCAACAGGAGCTGCCAGCACGGATCTGAACAGCTTTTTCTCAGATACTCTTGCAGGCGAAGCGGTGAGGCTTGTTTGGTTATGAGAGGCTGCTGATGTTGATGCACAAGTTACTGATGCCTGCCTGCAATGTGCGCAATCTTCTTCATTCATTCTCTTTTGAGACGTCTCAAAAGTCGCCTGCAATGTGCACAATGCTCGTTCATCTTGCAATGCACCAGCAGCACTGCCCCGCCCCACTAGTGCAATGCACCAGCAGTACTGCCCCGCCCCACTAGTGCAATGCACCAGCAGCACTGCCCCGCCGCACTAGTGCAATGCACCAGCAGCACTGCCCCGCCCCACTAGTGCAATGCACCAGCAGCACTGCCCCGCCCCACTAGTGCAATGCACAAGCAGCACTGCCCCGCCCCACTAGTGCAATGCACCAGCAGCACTGCCCCGCCCCACTAGTGCAATGCACCAGCAGCACTGCCCTGCCGCACTAGTGCAATGCACCAGCAGCACTGCCCCGCCCCACTAGTGCAATGCACCAGCAGCACTGCCCCGCCGCACTAGTGCAATGCACCAGCAGCACTGCCCCGCCCCACTAGTGCAATGCACCAGCAGCACTGCCCCGCCCCACTAGTGCAATGCACCAGCAGCACTGCCCCGCCCCACTAGTGCAATGCACCAGCAGCACTGCCCCGCCCCACTAGTGCAATGCACCAGCAGCACTGCCCCGCCCCACTAGTGCAATGCACCAGCAGCACTGCCCTGCCGCACTAGTGCAATGCACCAGCAGCACTGCCCCGCCCCACTAGTGCAATGCACCAGCAGCACTGCCCCGCCCCACTAGTGCAATGCACCAGCAACACTGCCCCGCCCCACTAGTGCAATGCACCAGCAGCACTGCCCCGCCCCACTAGTGCAATGCACCAGCAGCACTGCCCCGCCCCACTAGTGCAATGCACCAGCAGCACTGCCCCGCCGCACTAGTGCAATGCACCAGCAGCACTGCCCCGCCCCACTAGTGCAATGCACCAGCAGTACTGCCCCGCCCCACTAGTGCAATGCACCAGCAGCACTGCCCCGCCCCACTAGTGCAATGCACCAGCAGCACTGCCCCGCCCCACTAGTGCAATGCACCAGCAGCACTGCCCTGCCGCACTAGTGCAATGCACCAGCAGCACTGCCCCGCCCCACTAGTGCAATGCACCAGCAGCACTGCCCCGCCGCACTAGTGCAATGCACCAGCAGCACTGCCCCGCCCCACTAGTGCAATGCACCAGCAGCACTGCCCCGCCCCACTAGTGCAATGCACCAGCAACACTGCCCCGCCCCACTAGTGCAATGCACCAGCAGCACTGCCCCGCCCCACTAGTGCAATGCACCAGCAGCACTGCCCCGCCCCACTAGTGCAATGCACCAGCAGCACTGCCCCGCCCCACTAGTGCAATGCACCAGCAGCACTGCCCCGCCCCACTAGTGCAATGCACCAGCAGCACTGCCCCGCCGCACTAGTGCAATGCACCAGCAGCACTGCCCCGCCCCACTAGTGCAATGCACCAGCAGTACTGCCCCGCCCCACTAGTGCAATGCACCAGCAGCACTGCCCCGCCCCACTAGTGCAATGCACCAGCAGCACTGCCCCGCCCCACTAGTGCAATGCACCAGCAGCACTGCCCCGCCCCACTAGTGCAATGCACCAGCAGCACTTCCCCGCCCCACTAGTGCAATGCATCAGCAGCACTGCCCCGCCCAACTAGTGCAATGCACCAGCAGCACTGCCCCGCCCCACTAGTGCAATGCACCAGCAGCACTGCCCCGCCCCACTAGTGCAATGCTTTGGCCACCCTTCAGCCAGCCACCCTTGCCCTCTGTCTCCCTCCCTGGCATGGACGATAGGGACAGCAGGGAACGCACTGCATGGACGATAGGGACAGCAGGGAACGCACTGCATGGACGATAGGGACAGCAGGGAACGCACTGCATGGACGATAGGGACAGCAGGGAACGCACTGCATGGACGATAGGGACAGCAGGGAACGCACTGCATGGCTTGCGCAAGCTGACCACCAGTGACAATTTTGCCTCTTTTTCCGCCCCCCCTTCTTCAACCCCACGTTTTCCCCATCCCCAGGGAGTGAAGCGGCTGGCACGGACGATAGAGACAGCAGGGAACGCGCTGCATGGTCTGCTCACACTGCACCTCATGCCCGCTCTGGAAGAGACCCTGTTCCGCCTCTCCTCCCTGCACTCCCTCGCTGCTACAGCTGCTGCTGCTGCCACTGCTGGTGCTACAGCTTCAGCTACTGCTACAGGTGCCACTGCTGGTTGTCCAGGGACAGTCAGCCCGTTTGAGGCTCTGGGACTAGCACACTGCATGGGCGATGCTGGCGGTAGTGCAAGTGGTGGTGCTGAAGGTGCTGGTGGTGGTGGTGGTGGAGTTGGTAGGGGTGTTGATAGCGGTGCTAGTGGCAGTGCAGGTGGGTTACTACAGAGAGCAATAGAGGAGGTGATGGTGGCGATGGTGTGGAGTGAGCGTGTGGTGCGGCTGCTGGCGGTGATGCTGCCGCAGTTTGCCGCCTTCTTTGTGTGGCTGCTGCGCTGCATCCGGGCGGCGAACGAGGATGAGGACGAGGATGTCAGGCCGGGCAGCAATGCTGCGAGCAGCCAAGCACTGCTGGTCAACACGTGAGTGCTACAGCGGACAGTTGGTTCTCAAGAATCAGCGGAAGGTTCTCTAGAATTCTCTAACAACATGAGGCGGAGGGGCAGCAATGCCACCAGCAGCCAGGTGCTGCTGATCAGCATGTGAGTGCTACATGTAGAGTGGCACATAAGGGGTGCGTAGTGGCGCTTGTTGACACTTCGGGCGTTCAGACCTCATGCCTTAGGGCGTTCAGACCTCATGCCTTAGGGCGTTCAGACCTCATGCCTTAGGGCGTTCAGACCTCATGCCTTAGGGCGTTCAGACCTCATGCCTTAGGGCGTTCAGACCTCATGCCTTAGGGCGTTCAGACCTCATGCCTTAGGGCGTTCAGACCTCATGCCTTAGGGCGTTCAGACCTCATGCCTTCGGGCGTTCAGACCTCATGCCTTAGGGCGTTCAGACCTCATGCCTTAGGGCGTTCAGGCCTCATGCCTTAGGGCGTTCAGACCTCATGCCTTAGGGCGTTCAGACCTCATGCCTTAGGGCGTTCAGACCTCATGCCTTAGGGCGTTCCGCATTGGTGCTTGGCTCACTTGGGGCGAATGCTGCCAGTCGCAGCAGCAGCAGCAGCAGCAGCCAGCCAGGCTCCTGCAGCAGAGAGTACTAGTGGCAGACATTTCAGAACTTCCAAGTAACAAAAAGTGCTCTACCCTCCTCGTCTCCCCGTCTGCCCCTTCTCTCCCACAGAGTAGGGCAGTGGTGGCGGATTTTCTCCACCAGCGCTTTTACTGGGATATCATCAAAGCGCACCTCGGGCCTGAAGGGGGCGCACCTTGATTCTCCGCGAAACTCGCGAGTCCGTTTCCCATCCTCCTTCTCTCTCCCCCGCCCACACCTCTCCCGCAGAGCAGGGCAGTGGTGGCGGACTTTCTGCACCACCAAGGCGCACCTGCACCCCATCTGCCCCAGATGCCACCTCCCATCCACTTCGACCGCGACCCCTTCAAGGCCCAGTCAATGCGCACCTGGATCCGCCTCCCCCAGACGCCACCTGCTCTACCCTCCTCTCTCCTCCTCTCTCCCTGCCTTTTCCGCAGAGCAGGGCAGTGGTGGCGGACTTTCTCCACCACCACTTGGACTGCGACCCCATCAAGGCGCACCTGGATCCACCTGCCCCAGATGCCACCTCCCCAGGCGCCAGGGTGCCGCCCCCGCCCATGTTCGCTGGGATCACGAGTGGCGCGCACGAGGATGGGGGTATGTGGTGAAGGGGGTATGTGGTGAAGGGGGTATGTGGTGAAGGGGGTATGTGGTGAAGGGGGTATGTGGTGAAGGGGGTATGTTAAGAAGGTGGCGGCAATGGGGGTATGTGTGATGGTGGTGATGGGATGGGGGTTTAGGGTATCTGTGATGGCGATGGTGGTGGGATGTGTGTGTTGTGTTCCTCTGCACTGCAACCCTTCCTCGCGTCCTCTCTCACCCCTTGGACCTCACAATCACGCCAACCTTCAATCCTTCCCGCTTCCTGGGTATTGTGTTGTTCTTATACCCAGATGCGCTTCTAAGGGAGGTCGTGTGTGACCTAGCTGGGATCACCAACCCAGCAGCCGTGCACCCCAAGGGAGGCAACAACTCTCTCCGGCAGCGGCTGGACCGAGTGCAATACAGGTGAGCCTTGCGATGTCATTTGATAACTACCACCACCAATTAACGTCCTTTTATAGAATAGAACCCACTCAATTACGTGAGTGTCCACTATATGAAATCGCACGTATTTTGCGGGTATTCAGCCACAGCAGCCAGCTTCACTGCTCGTGCCGTGCTTGCCCTGCCACCTCTGCTGCTTCCTACTGTGCCCACATTCTGTTCCCCCATTCGCCCCACTCCCCCCATCTCCAGCTGTGAGGCAGTGCTATCAGCCACAGCAGCCAGCTTCACTGCCCGTGCCGTGCTTTCCCTGCGGCCTCTCCCACTGCCTCGACGACTTCCCTTGCCCCTTGTCCCATTTCGCCCCCCTCTCCCCCCCTCTCCAGCTGTGAGGCAGTGCTATCAGCCACAGCAGCCAGCTTCACTGCCCGTGCCGTGCTTTCCCTGCGGCCTCTCCCACTGCCTCAACGACTTCCCTTGCCCCTTGTCCCATTTCGCCCCCCTCTCCCCCCCTCTCCAGCTGTGAGGCAGTGCTATCAGCCACAGCAGCCAGCTTCACTGCCCGTGCCGTGCTTTCCCTGCGGCCTCTCCAGCTGCCTCAACGACTTCCCTTGCCCCTTGTCCCATTTCGCCCCCCTCTCCCCCCCTCTCCAGTTGTGAGGCAGTGCTATCAGCCACAGCAGCCAGCTTCACTGCCCGTGCCGTGCTCGCCCTGCCCTCTCTGCTTCTGCCTGCTGTGCCCACCGCGCCTCTTCTGACTTCAAGCCAACAAGTTGCCGCCCAACAGATTGCCGCCCAGCAGAGAACACCTGCTAAGGCACAAGCTAAAGATGCAGCAGCAACAGCAGCAGCAGCAACAGCAGCAGCAGCAACAGCCGCCATGCCTGTTAGGGCGCCAATCAGCATCTGCTGCCCCCAAGTAACCTCAATGATCTTCTAGAATCTATTTTCATCTAGACGGCGCAATGCTTTTTCTCTTTGCTCATCTTTGCCTGCCATCTTCCTGCCATCTTCCTGCCATCTTCCTGCCATCTTCCTGCCATCTTCCTGCCATCTTCCTGCCGTCTTCCTTCCACCCCCCACGTGCTCTCTCCTCCACTCTTTCCCTTTTCTACCGATTTCCCCCCACTCGTTTCCCTCCATTCACCTCTCACCTTTCACTCCCGTTGCTTCCGCTCTTCTCTTGAATCACTCTCGTCTTGACCCACTCTCGCACGCCTAACAACCTTATTGCGATGGAGAAGGATTTTATGGTCACGAATTCCCATCTCTCTTTTCTAGTCTTGAGAGTTCTCAAGTCGGGATCCCAATGTTTCTATTCCACCCCTTGCTCTTGTGCGCTTGTCAACAATTGAGTCAACTGTTAATCACCCATTATTCCACCCAGCCATCTTTCTACTCACCATCTTTCTCTTCACCCAACTTTCTCCTCCTTCCCCTGCTCTCCCCACTGCAGCCTTCCTCGCTGATTAATTCTGCTAAAGCTACCAGCACCCCTCACCACCGCCTCCCACCACCCGCTAAGTGCGTCATTGCGCTTCCCCTCCCGTCCTCCACCTCTGTTAGCAGCAGCAGCAGCAGCCAAGTGTTGGTGCTACGAGTGCCTTTGTCCTCTGCAAAACATCCTGCAATTTCCCGTGCATCAGCAGCAGCAGCAGCAGCAGTCAAAGCAGGCGCAGCAGCGACAGCAGTGGCAGGAGCAGCAGAGGGGGTGGAGGCGGCAGTGGTGGATGTGGGGCATGGCATGGTGGTCACAGACATTGCAATGTATAAGGTAGGTACCATCTACCCATGCATGCATGCTTGTCTACCTGGCATTCGAGAGGCAGAGAGGGCAGCGGTGGTGGATGTGGGGCATGGCATGGCGGTGACAGACATTGCAATGTATAAGGTAATGGGTTACCCATGCATGCATCCATGCGCACATGGGGTCTGTCTGAGTTGCATTTTGAGTCGACTCAACAATCAACTCAGAGGGGTGGAGGCGGTTCTCTCAGATGGATGTGGGGCATGGCATGGTGGTGACAGACATTGCACTGTACAAGGTACCATAGACCCATGCATGCATCCATGCACACATGCTTGTTGTCTGTCTGAGTTGCAATTTGAGTCGACTCAACAATCATCTCAGATGGATGTGGGGCATGGCATGGTGGTGACAGACATTGCACTGTACAAGGTACCATAGACCCATGCATGCATGCATGTATGTCTGCCTGCCTGCTCCCACAGGGATACCGCATTGCACTGCTGCTCACTGCTGCTCACCACTGCTCACTGCTGCTCCTGCTGCTCCTTCTGCCCCTAAACCACAGGACCACCACATCGCACTGCTGCTCACTGCTGCCGCTGCCACTAAAGCAGGCAGCGCAGCAGCAGGGGCAGCGTGGCAGCAAGCCGGGGAGCAGCAGCAGCAGCAGCAGCAGCAGCAGGGGAGGCTGGTGGTGTGTCCAGTAGAGGGTCTGGCGTTCACAGGAATTCAGCTGGGCCAAGGAGACACCCTCCTGCAGGTACAGATGTGTGCGTGCTTGTGTTTGCTTGTGCTTGTGTGTATAGGTGGCTGTGCGTGTCTGTGTGCATGCACGTGAGTGTGAGTTCCAGCAGCAGCAGCAGCAGCAGCAGCAGCAGCAGCAGCAGCAGCAGCAGGGGAGGCTGGTGGTGTGTCCAGTAGAGGGTCTGGCGTTCACAGGAATTCAGCTGGGCCAAGGAGACACCCTCCTGCAGGTGCTTGCTTGTGTTTGCTTGTTTGCTTGTTTTCTTGTGTTGCGTGCGTGCACATACACGTGAGTGCGAGTGTGTGTATGCATGTGTGTATGCATGTCTGCATGCATGTGTGTATGCATGTGCGCGCGCATGCGTGGGTACCTGTGTCAAGTATGTATGTACTAGTGCTGCTGCATCTGATCCGACTTTCCTTTCTTTAAAACGTAAGCATGAGTCACAACACAGGTTCTTCCACACATCATCATGACTTTCTTGCTTTCCTTTGCCAGATCCTAAAAAGGCTTCTCGCACTGTCATCATTTTCTTTCCTTCTCTTTGCATCCTCCAACAGCGTAAAACTGGATGAGACTCTCAACACCATATCACCCCCCTCTCTCATTCCGCTTCACCCCTTTCCCAACCCCCTCCTCCCCTCTCCAATCCCCTCTCTAACACCCACCGCCCTCCCATCCGCTCCCTTTGGAGGGCCTTAGGGAACGACCTCTCACCTTCCCCCCCCCCCCGCCCCCGTCTCTTCCCCTTTCCCATTCCCTCTCTCCCCCCCCCCGCTTGTGCAGCATCTACCACCTTCTCAGCCGTTCCCCTCCGAGGGCCTTAGGGAACGCCCTCTCACCTTTGCCCGCCCCCTCGCCCCGCTTGCTGCCAGTTGTAAGCATATCACCTGCTTCCACATGTTGCCAAACCAAATCACCCGCCTTGTGCCCCTGACCCCTTCCACTTCTGGCACGTCTCAAAAGTCGCTCGCTGCCAGCTGTAAGCATATCACCTGCTTCCACATGTTGCCAAACCAAATCACCCGCCTTGTGCCCCTGACCCCTTCCACTTCTGACACGTCTCAAAAGTCGCTCGCTGCCAGCTGTAAGCATATCACCTGCTTCCACATGTTGCCAAACCAAATCACCCGCCTTGTGCCCCTGACCCCTTCCACTTCTGGCACGTCTCAAAAGTCGCTCGCTGCCAGCTGTAAGCATATCACCTGCTTCCACATGTTGCCAAACCAAATCACCCGCCTTGTGCCCCTGACCCCTTCCACTTCTGGCACGTCTCAAAAGTCGCTCGCTGCCAGCTGTAAGCATATCACCTGCTTCCACATGTTGCCAAACCAAATCACCCGCCTTGTGCCCCTGACCCCTTCCACTTCTGGCACGTCTCAAAAGTCGCTCGCTGCCAGCTGTAAGCATATCACCTGCTTCCACATGTTGCCAAACCAAATCACCCGCCTTGTGCCCCTGACCCCTTCCACTTCTGGCACGTCTCAAAAGTCGCTCGCTGCCAGCTGTAAGCATATCACCTGCTTCCACATGTTGCCAAACCAAATCACCCGCCTTGTGCCCCTGACCCCTTCCACTTCTGACACGTCTCAAAAGTCGCTCGCTGCCAGCTGTAAGCATATCACCTGCTTCCACATGTTGCCAAACCAAATCACCCGCCTTGTGCCCCTGACCCCTTCCACTTCTGGCACGTCTCAAAAGTCGCTCGCTGCCAGCTGTAAGCATATCACCTGCTTCCACATGTTGCCAAACCAAATCACCCGCCTTGTGCCCCTGACCCCTTCCACTTCTGACACGTCTCAAAAGTCGCTCGCTGCCAGCTGTAAGCATATCACCTGCTTCCACATGTTGCCAAACCAAATCACCCGCCTTGTGCCCCTGACCCCTTCCACTTCTGGCACGTCTCAAAAGTCGCTCGCTGCCAGCTGTAAGCATATCACCTGCTTCCACATGTTGCCAAACCAAATCACCCGCCTTGTGCCCCTGACCCCTTCCACTTCTGACACGTCTCAAAAGTCGCTCGCTGCCAGCTGTAAGCATATCACCTGCTTCCACATGTTGCCAAACCAAATCACCCGCCTTGTGCCCCTGACCCCTTCCACTTCTGACACGTCTCAAAAGTCGCTCGCTGCCAGCTGTAAGCATATCACCTGCTTCCACATGTTGCCAAACCAAATCACCCGCCTTGTGCCCCTGACCCCTTCCACTTCTGACACGTCTCAAAAGTCGCTCGCTGCCAGCTGTAAGCATATCACCTGCTTCCACATGTTGCCAAACCAAATCACCCGCCTTGTGCCCCTGACCCCTTCCACTTCTGGCACGTCTCAAAAGTCGCTCGCTGCCAGCTGTAAGCATATCACCTGCTTCCACATGTTGCCAAACCAAATCACCCGCCTTGTGCCCCTGACCCCTTCCACTTCTGGCACGTCTCAAAAGTCGCTCGCTGCCAGCTGTAAGCATATCACCTGCTTCCACATGTTGCCAAACCAAATCACCCGCCTTGTGCCCCTGACCCCTTCCACTTCTGACACGTCTCAAAAGTCGCTCGCTGCCAGCTGTAAGCATATCACCTGCTTCCACATGTTGCCAAACCAAATCACCCGCCTTGTGCCCCTGACCCCTTCCACTTCTGACACGTCTCAAAAGTCGCTCGCTGCCAGCTGTAAGCATATCACCTGCTTCCACATGTTGCCAAACCAAATCACCCGCCTTGTGCCCCTGACCCCTTCCACTTCTGACACGTCTCAAAAGTCGCTCGCTGCCAGCTGTAAGCATATCACCTGCTTCCACATGTTGCCAAACCAAATCACCCGCCTTGTGCCCCTGACCCCTTCCACTTCTGACACGTCTCAAAAGTCGCTCGCTGCCAGCTGTAAGCATATCACCTGCTTCCACATGTTGCCAAACCAAATCACCCGCCTTGTGCCCCTGACCCCTTCCACTTCTGGCACGTCTCAAAAGTCGCTCGCTGCCAGCTGTAAGCATATCACCTGCTTCCACATGTTGCCATTTTTCTCCAACTCATCCTCCTATTGCTTTCTACTAACTCATACGTCGTTCTCATTGCTGCCCCACCCTGCTCCCCCGCTGCCTCTTCTTCGCAACTGCATCAGCTGCGCTGTTCAGGGCTAAGCGGAGAGTCTTGGTTCTGGACTGGACCTTGAGGAGGACTTTTCAGCCGACTCAAAAGTCTCTGTTCAGGGTTCAGTGGCGAGTGTTGGTTCCGGGACTTGAGGAGGATGAGGACGGACCAGGAGGGAGAGATTTGAGGGCGTGTTACATTTTTTTAAGTCGCTGAAAGTCCGGACGGTTGTCCGGACGCGTGCGAATAATGCGACGTCGCAGGGTCGCGTTGCGACCAATGCGATGTTGTAAGGAGGCAGTACGACGAATGCGATGTCGTTTAGACCCTGACGAACTCACTATTGAGATTTAACGAGTTCCGTAACCACACAATCGTCCGGACGGTAACACGCCCTGAGTCGACTCAAAAGTGTGTTCTCGTTGTTGCCACAACCCGGTTCCCCTACCTTTCCCCTTCGCAGCTGCTCGTGGCTTGGCTGCGGTGTTTGGGGCTCAGCGGAGAGTGCTGGTACCTTACCTTGATGAATATTGGGAGGGAAGAGGAAGAGCTTTGAGCTGACTTATATGTGTTCTTGTTGCTGCCCCATCCCATTTTCTCCTCTGTTCCCAACCATCCCCCCTCCCCCCCACCCCCCCACCCCCGCAGCTGCTCGTGGCTTGGCTGCGGTGTTTGGGGCTCAGCGGAGAGTGCTGGTTCTTGACCTTGAGGAGGATGAGGAGGAAGAGGAGGAAGAAGGGGAGGAGGAGAATGAGGGGGAAGAGGGCGAAGAGGAAGGTGATGGGGCTGAAGAGGGAGGTTGAGTCCTGGTGTTTGTTGAGCCTGTTGTTGTCAGTAGGAGAGGTTGAGGTTTAGGGGGAAGAGGGGAGGGAGGGGGTTGAAGCAGATCAGGAGCATCATGGTCAGGGCCTCGGATTCGTTTTGACGTAGGCTGACTGGTCAACCTTAGGAATAACTTCATGGCTGAGAGGTCAGTGGAGTTGGTAAAAAAAAAACTGATTTTCCAGGTTGTCTAGGAGAAAAAAAGCTGAACGATCAGCGTCGTTTTGCGGTCAAGTTTGAACCACTCATCAAGTAATACTAACAAGATCATCATCATCCTCGTCATCTTCTTCATCCTCACTATCACTAGAGCCTACATCTTCTACAGCATGGGGTTCATCTACTTCCATAGCTGTCGCTCTACCCTTCTTGCTGGTTTCCCCTGGGGTAGAAATAGGGGCATTAGAGAATGGCTTCCTCTTCTTGTAGCTTCTCCAAATATCGACCACCTCGTCGAACCGTGGCTCGTACGGCATCAGAGACATGCACATCAAGTCTCCCAGCTGTGCATCTTTGAGGCTGCTCCGCTGCCAAGACTTGATCACGTTCTGGCGAGAGAAGCCCCTTTCGCACTCCACAGTGTTAAGGGGAATCACCGCCACTGCTACCCACAACAGCACCAGGTTGGGGTAACTCTCCCGCCAGTCAGGAGTCTTCAGAATCGCGGAAAGGCCATCGTGGAAAGATCTCTCCCCCTTGGGTGCAGAGGCACGGACGGAGCAGAACAGTCGCAGCTCTTTGTGGGCCTGCCGCTTCTTGATACCTGGCATGGCAACAAGTGGAGGGGGAGGAAACAATGCAAGACGGGGCTTAGTGATGACTTAAGCAAACGGGAAGGAGGTGTATTGGCAGTAAAGAGAAACAATACGATGGCATTGAAACAAACATAAAACACGACTCCACCTGGCAATATGTCTTCTGCCTGCTCTGCCTTGAATAGCGTCACCAGCGACTGCAGCCCCTTAACGCATCGTGCGTGACGCTCCAACTTGCTCTTCGGCCACTCATCCGGCAGGAACAGTCGGACTTCCGACAACGAGTCCAAGTCACTCAGCCGACTCTCCAGGTTCGCCACGATGCGTTCGGCGAAGTCGGTGCAGGCCTCAACACAGGCGTCGTGATCACACGGGCCTTCGTAGCCTTTGACCTTGTCCTCGTGGAGCGTGAACTTGAATGTTGTTGGTCGCCCATCGGAGTCGGGCCCCTCCACTGTCACTTCACGGTCCTTTCCGGGGCCATAACACTCGATGAAGGGCGACAGCCAGCGGCTGAAGCCTCCGCCAAAGTCGTCCCCACAATCCACATATCGGCTCTCGATATGTGTTGTCGTGCGCTTGATCTGACTGTGCAGTGAGACAAGGTCTAGCTGCAGGCATCGGTCAGAAAGGGAAGACTGTCAGCCGCGTGTACCAACAAGTAATAAAGTGAAGGCATGGAAATACACACTCAAACATACCTGGCGCTGCTGGAATGCCCTGTTCATAATGTTCAACTGCTCAAGAACATCAGCAAGAAAATACATGAAGAAGTGGAAACGGTAGGAAGTGGCGAGCAAAAACATCGCGGAATGAAACTCCTGCAGGAATACGATGACAGCAGGCCACACTGCCAGGATGTGAAGCAACGCATCCCCCCGAGAGAGCCACCGGACGCTATGTATCCCCTGGACCTCCAGGCTGGTCTCGGTGAAGAGCTCCTGGAGGTCCTTGAAGGGCTGGTGTTTCGGGCTGGAACGGCCCAGTAGGTCCGACACCACACGGATTAGATCGTCTACCATATTGAAGACTGGTAGATCTTCGGCCGCATCCTTAGCGACAAGGGCTTCCCTGCATTAAACGTAATAAGAAAAATCAGTACACCGAGCAAGAAAAAAACCAATAAACGCTGTGAATTCAAAGCAGCACTAACCTGTGGGCGATGCAGTGACACAAGACGAGGTGGGGAATCCGCTGTCGCAGGCGAACCACCAGTCCGGCATTACTTCCCATCATCACCGACGCTCCGTCGGTGCTGATGCCCGAAATCCTTTGCAGGTCAACAACCACGGCCTGCAGGTGAGACAGCAGAAGGCTCAAGAGGGTCGAGGCGTCAGCTTTCTCAACGGTGATCAGCTGCATGAACTCTGTCACCACGACAGAATCCCGAACGAAGGTGGCGTAAATAATAAGGTACTTCGTCGGTGCTTTCGTCGATGGCGATGCCGATGAAGGGGCTTGTGAGGATATGCTCCAGCTGGGTCGTCTGTAGCCAGGTTGCCAGAGACTGCGTTAGTTCGTCGTAGCCGTACCTGCCAGAATACAAGGCATACATCATTAGTGACTCCGCGTCTGTAAAACAATGTAAACAACAAAGGTTATTACCACTCACGTGGTATAATAAGTCCCATAGCCTTTCTTAGGGAAACCTTGAACCCCTTTCCGGGCAAGATACTGCACCAGCTTCACCCATGTCCCCATGGGTGCGTCGCAGTCGCTGATGAACAGAAGCGCCTCGAGCAGTGACGTGACCCGGATCTTTTCTGCATCGACCGCTGCACGATGATCGTCGATGCGGGGCTGTTTAGACGTGGCAGCAAGCAGGGCCTCTTGCTTCTCCAGTGCCAGCTTGTGTTTTCTCGTCCCGGCGTGCTTGCGAAAGGCCTGCGTCTGGACGTCGGTAGCACCTTTGCCTGTCCTGCCACAACGTCCCCTAACACCGGCGTGCTTAGTACAGAGACTGCATTTGAAAGCAGGCAGACCACAAACAGTTTTGGTACGTACAAGCCATGGGAAACGCTCAAGCCACTTAGTTTTGTACTTATCCAGTGCCTCGGCATAAATCGCTTCAACAATCTCCTGAACGTTGATGTCCAGAGACGGGCGCACGGTGGTTTCGTTGACGACAGCTTCAGATACGGGGACACTGGATGATGGCTTCCAGAAACTCAGTTTCTGTTGCTTGAGCTTGATTGTGCGCGGTGCTGACGACTTCGACGCCGATGTGCCGACGTGAACGGTGTCGGAAACACCGGGCGGCGCGGGAGGGACGGACCGGATGGAATCCGGGCTGTAAGGCACGTTCGGGTTACCCGCCACTGTAGGAACCGGACCGGGTGCAGTGGGCGCTGGAGGTGGTAGTTGGCGGCCTAAAGATCTTAGCAGAAGATCTAGCCCAGTACGGGCTTCTTCTATGGCGATGCTATCTGCGTCGTCTACATCGGCGTCACCCTCGTCGTCTGAAAGGCCGACGCCATGGCCAGCCATGGCGGAACAGATACGAGAGCGAGCCGAGCACTGAGAGAACGTCCCGAGAAATGCCTGGTGCTAGAGGCGAAAGAAGTGAAACCCTAGCGAGGATGGGTGAGAGACGGGGGACTCCAGCAGCTACCTAGGGTTATGCAAGAAGGAGCTGGTGACGGTGAAGAGGGATTGGTTGGCAAGCTTACCGTGCCATGATGCAAGGCGACTCGACCCATGGAATCATGCACGTACCTGGTTGCAGCTTCGGGGTGGGTGAGGTGGGGGGGTTTCCTAGTCGCGCGGCAACCAATTTGTGGAGCTGTACCGCTGTAACGTGCGTGCGTGGTGCCGCGCTGTTTACATTCCATTCGCCAGTAGTTGATGTGGTTGAACTAACATCCAATCACGGACGAAGATACCTTTGCGACCTGACAGCAGTGGGTGGGATGCCTTGTTCGGTACTGCTGATGCCATTCCCGAATGCGTTGGCAAGGAATTTTGCAATTTGGGCGTGATTGACGGAGGGATACACGAACAGCTGTATCTAGACATCCGGAATTCCGGGCCTAAACCCGATCTCCATTACGGGGATTTCAGCCCAGCCCTCCGATACAAGTCTGATGAGACAGCGCACACACATGGAAAAAAGCTGATATTTCAGCAGAGACAGTTTAAAAAAAACTGAAGTTACAGCATAAACACACTAAAAAAAGCTGCCACAACAGGCCAACGTCCCCCCAAACAACTGAAATCACAGGCTTTTTACCCCTAATCAGCCTTTTTTCGCTGACTTCTGAGAGCCTGATCATGGTTAGTGGCAATCAGATATAGGAGGGGCTAAGGGGTAAAAGGGTGTTTGTGCGTGATGAGACAAAGGGCAGGAGTGCGAGGATTCAAGAGTTTCCTGTTTTGTTTTCTGCTGCCTTGCAGCAGATTTGCTGGGCAATATAAGGCTCACTTTCAATCAGGATTTTTAACAGTTTATATCATACTGGGGCTTGATTGATATTTACATTCTCAGAGTGTATTAGTCCCAAGTCAAGCCGCTCCTTTTTGAGGCAGCAACTGTTGACCGGCACCTGAGGTTGATTTCACTAGATTGTCCCTCTGCTCAACACAGGCACGTGCTTGTCTGTGCCGAAAACCCCCAAGGTTCGATGTCTCGTTTCCATTGGGCGCTTGCGATCGTTTCCCCGAATCGCGCCGCAGTTGGTCCCAAATTTCCAATGACAGGAAACAAGAAACAGTCGTTTCATTTCACAGGTGGTGCCAGCCAATTTGCCTGACCGCCAGCCAATTTGCATGACCGACATCCATTCCAATTGAATAACAGCGAACAGAAGTTTCAGACTTTCTGTTCGACTGCTTTGCAATGCGCACTGTACTATATGCGTTACGTATTCTACAGTGCGACGGGACGGGAAAGGTGGCTGTATTACACAGCTTATAAAAAACTTTTCCAAGTGTACAGAACTCGTATTCTGTTTTCAATATTACCTGTCATATTCGTACATCACCTGTCATTGACGTGGTTGATTGCACTGCACATTGCCAATGTGTGTGCATTGGAAAGGAACATCGCCATTGCCAAGCACCGTCCTTGGTTGAAACAACTGCATCCTTGCCTGGCGAAACCTCGCGCCGCAACTGACGCCTTGAACGTCTCTACAGCACAGTACGGTTCCTTCAATTTCCCAGCCCAAATGTCGACTCGACTCGACCATTGGCACCCCCTCAGCTAGCTTCTTCGGGACGATACTCATTCAAGAAGAAATGTGTCAGCCCAAGTGGAGCATTGAGGATCATCTATGAGTTTGGGCGACCAAAATGTAAACCGTCAGATGTGTTTTGAGCTCGTTTGTTTCAGCCCAAAACAATCATCCTGATGGTAATTTGTTTCTCAGTTACCTTATTTCCGATATCTCGTTTCCGTCAGTTGCTTACGACTAAGTTCTTGTCTCGGTCTAAAAGTCAAGCGCAAGTAGCAGTCAAGCGGTACTACCATCTGTCGTCTTGTCAGATTGTAAAACAGCCATAGGCAGAAAAATATCTGGGCGCACCAGACCACCTCTGAGCGCCACCTGCGCAGCATATAAGCATTAGACCGGTTGCTGCGCTGCGAGATGACGAATGTTGCCTGACGATGAGGTATTCTTCTGCCTGATGAGTTCAGACGTCGTCTGCGACTCCGAGTCGCTGCTGCTGCTGCTGCTCAATGAGGTCTCTTGCTTGACGACGCCTTACTGCGGCTCGAGATGAGGCTGCGGCGACCCAGCGCCCCCATCCACACACACAGGAACCTCGCGTCGAAACAAGTTCAGAGTAGTAGTACTACGAGTTGTACTGTAGGGCGATAGAGGCAGCGCAAGCATAGCGAAAGTCACCGTCGCTTCTCCACGGTACCGTGACGAGTCCGGCTCGCAGACCCCGCGACTGCTCGGAGAGAAACAAGATCTACTTACTTGACTCTATGCGTTTTTGTTTTCCCTCGGAATGTGACCTCGGACATTCCGTTTTGTGACGTCGTACCCCCTTAGTCTCTAGCGCGCGGCGCGTAATCTCCAGTAGCCGTAGTACTCCCGTTAGAGTCGTGAAAAGTAGTAGTACGCGTTTGTCATTTTCAGCGGGCTGGGCTGCAGCAGCAATAGCAACAGCAGCAGAAGAAGGGACAACCCCTGTAAAAGCGAACGAGTCATAAGTCGTCTTGTCTCCTCCAACAAGATTCAAGACATGAAACGGCTAGAAACAAGTGCGTTGCGGCGAGTGCTGCGTCGCCGGGTAGTCATCTCCCCTCGTCTCTCCCGAGCTCCCTCACGCATCCTCGTCCCTTCCAACACCCTCTTTCTGCTCCTCCTCCTACTCCCTCTCAACCTCACACCATCGTGGTCATTGGACTTGCTTGCTTCGCGGTCCTCCTCGACAGAATCTGGGGATGCGCTCGGCGCGCCCCGAGGTGGCGCGTCTCGGAGAAAGGTCTTCCCCTCGGCAAAACCTGGGGATGCGCTCGGCGCGTCCCGTCTTGACGCGATTCGTATAAAGATTCCTTTCTCGGCAGAATCTAGGGAAGAGGTCAGCGCGGTTGTGCTGGCGGAGGGCGGCGCGAACGAGGATGGTGCTTTTGAGTCAACTCAAAAGGAGAGAATAGTTTTCGTTGACCGTCAGCGAACTTCGCGTGGTATGGCGAAACTGCAGCTCTCGAGAGGCGAGAGTGGAGGGAACGAAGACGGGAGCAAAGATCACCCATGGCGGAATCAAGAGCAGCAACCATTCCAGCATCAAACACGTCAGCAAGGAACCGAACGGAGGCGACTACAGATGCCGAGTCAGCAGCATCGGAAGGGGCTTGAGCATATGCCACGTCAGCAGCATCGGAGGCGACTCGTATCATATGATATGATGCATGAGGGGCATATGTACAAGCGGAGACGGTTGATTCGGGGCAAGAAGGAGTGCTGGAGCAAGCACGAGCGTTACCAGTACTGGCAGGTGGGTGTAACTTACTGGGCCTGTTGGGACAGCTGGGACAGGCTGGGCTGGCAATGGGGAGGGCTGGTACTGGGGAGGGCTGGCACTGGGGAGGGCTGAACTCTTGGGTTGGATCCACACCCGCTTTGAGTCGCCTGGATCTTTTTGGGTGTGACTCTCTTGGCACAAGAAGGATCTCTGAGGAAGTGTCACGCCCCCCTTCAACCGCCTCAGCAAGTGTCACGCCCCCTTTCAACCGCCTCAGCAAGTGTCACGCCCCCCTTCAACCGCCTCAGCAAGTGTCACGCCCCCCTTCAACCGCCTCAGCAAGTGTCACGCCCCCCTCCCTTGCCTCGGCTTATGGTTGGCAGGCAGGAGCGCATGTGGCGCCGGTGGATGCAGGCGACTCAAAGCGGGTGTCATGACTGTGGTGCTTTTGGGACCCAAAGCAGTTTTCCCCTCTCTCTTGCCTTGGGCTGGCTGGGGACTTGGCAGGCAGGAGCGCACGTGGCGCTGGTGGATCCAGGCGACTCAAAGCGGGTGCCTTTTTTCCCTCTCTCTTGCCTTGGGCTGGCTGGGGCCATGACAGGCGGGAGCGCACGTGGCGCCATCTACGGCGGTTGCGGCAGAGGACAGACGGAGTACGAGTCTTTACAGGCGCCTCACACCACGTGTTACGCCCTCTCCATCTTGCCTTGCCTTGGGTTGGTACCATGACATGACAGGCGGGAGCGCACGTGGAACCATCAGCCGCGTTTGCGAGGCAGAAGACGGAGTATGAGCGCATGCACCAGCGGTGCACGGAGGGCATCACCGACTGGAAGGCCTTTTACTTCAACCAGTGAGTGCTAAGGACGCTACAGAGTGTGATACGCGCTTGCTACAGCCTGCAACCCGTGCGCTGCAACCCGTGCGCTGCAACCCGTGCGCTACAACCCGTGCGCCGCAACCCGTGCGCTGCAACCCGTGTGCGCTACAAGCCGTGGGCTACAAGCCGTGTGCGCTACAACCCGTTTGCGCTACAAGCCGTGTGCTACAACCCGTGTGCGCTACAAGCCGTGTGCTACAACCCGTGTGCGCTACAAGCCGTGTGCTACAACCCGTGTGCGCTACAAGCCGTGTGCTACAACCCGTGTGCGCTACAAGCCGTGTGCTACAACCCGTGTGCGCTACAAGCCGTGTGCTACAACCCGTATGGCAGAGGACGGAGTTTGAGCACATGCGCTTGCACCAGCGGTGCACAGCGCGCATGCGCTACTGTAACTGATGAACCCGTGAGGCAGAGGTCGGAGAGTGCGCGCACGCGCATGCGCATGCGCACCAGCGGTCGACACAAGAGGTCGTAGTTCTCCTTCCTCGCCTCACCCATCCCCCTTCACGCTGCCCTGAGCGTCTCACTTCAGTAGGTTCGAGGGGCGGTCAGCAGCAGCGGATGTGGAAGGGTGCAGATTTAGAGTCGCCTCACTCACCAGGAGGCCTCAGCCCCTCATTGACCATTCCCCTTCCTCGCCTCACCCATCCCCTTTCGCCCTGCCCCGTGCGCCTCACTTCACCTGGGCTGTGAAAGGGTGCATCAGCAGCAGCAGCAGCAGCAGCAGCAGCAGCAGACCTGAGCTCCTTATCTCCCCTTCTCCTTCGCCGCCTCGCCCATCCCCCTCAAACTGCCCCCTCTTTCATTCACCAGGTCCGAGGGGCTATCACCAACAGCGGACGTGGAAGGGTGCAAGTATGCGTTTCTGATACCCGGCCAGTGGCACGGTGAGTGAGAGAGTGAGCTGATCCAGTCAGTGGCCTACTCTAGGTGTTCGCATCCCCCAGACCCCACCAATATTGCAGTGGCTCCCGGTCCCGACCTATAACCAAAACACCGAAGTGTAGGGTGTTCCATTTCTGCCTGCACCCTGCACTATACTATACCCCTATCTCCATCTACACCTTTCATCCGTCTGCACCTGTCTCCACCACTCACATCTGTTGCGGGTGGAGTTGACGCGTCGTCAAAACGCTAGAAAGGTGGAGGGAGAAAGGACGAAGCGCGGAGCAAACGCGAGGAATTAGAAGGCAAGCATCTGGGCTTCGTTCCTGGTCCACTAGATCTATCAAATCTGCTAAATGGCGAAACCTGTCCGCGCGGAAGGGAGAAAACGTTTTTTTGGGTGCCTCAGATCACGGTTCTGAAGTCTGGACACCATCTGAAGTGTGGACACTTTGGTAGCAATGAACACGTCTGATTGGCTGCCATGCTCCAAATTTTTTCGCAACTTGTGTAATGACCAATGATCGGGTGTGTTTACACGTCACTGAGGGAAAATTTTGGTTGATGGTGTCCAAGCTTCGCCCAGAACCGTGACCTCAAAAGCAGATCTAGAGTTGCAGATATTCTTTAGGGTGTGGGATTATGGGATGGGATGGTTTCCAGAGAATATCTTTGACGGAATGGGGGTCGATCGACGGTGCAGCATAGGTTTGGGTTGGGTTCCGACCAGGTTTCCAGGCTTGGCTGGGTTGTGCGGTGGTTTGGCGGGAAAGTTGGTTGGGCTGGGCTGATGCCTTGGGAATTGTTTGGAGTTCGCGATTTTGCATAGAAATCGGAAATTCGTAAAATGTCGGACGATTTTTGTCTCCGGTCAGCCCGGGAAAAAATAGTGGAAAGTCCAGCGTCAAAACGCGTCAAGCGCCAAAAACGCTAGCGTGAAATCGTGGCTTGATGCTTGGCTACCTGAGTGTCAAATCCAACGTACCAGTGCACTTGGCGGATAAATCTCATCCGTTGGCTTCCATTCCATAGGCCTTAATCTCTTCCCTCGTAGACTCATTTGTTCTCTTACCCAGAACATTCCATTTTCGAGCCAGGTTCAGTTTCATAGCTGCTCAACTGCACCATGCTTCAAATGTCCACATTGATGTGTTCTCTTGTTGTTGCTTCAAATGTCCACATTGACTCGTTCTCTTGTTGTTTCACACCACCCCCTTTCAGGCCTGGGCAACCGAATCATGTCTTTAATCTCCACATTCACATACGCCTTCATCACGCATCGAGCCATACTCATGCCGGACGACGGCCTCATGCCCTCGCTCCTCTGCAACCCCTTCGAACACTCCTCCTGGCTCATCCCTGCCTCCCACTTCTGGTGAGACGCACCTCCTGCCATCTTGTGAGAGCGCCTCAATCGCTTTCGTCTGCTCGTCCCTGCCTTTGCAACTGCAACCCCTTCGCGCACTCCTCCTGGCTCATCCCTGCCTCGCACTTCTGGTGAGAAGCAAAAGCGCCCGTCGATTGTGAGAGCAGCCTTACTTGTGAGCTTGTATCGTATGTGTCTGCTTGTCATGCCCTCCCTCCTCTGCAACCCTTTCGCGCACTCCTCCTGCCTCATCCCCGCCTCCCACTTCTGGTAAGAGCCCCTATGAGTGTGAGAGCGCCTTCTCGCCTTTGTCTGCTCGTCCCTTCTTTGCCCTCCTTCCTCTGCAACCCTTTCGCGCACCCCTCCTGGCTCATCCCCGCCTCCCACTTCTGATGAGAGCCGCTGGCTCTGTGAGAGTGCCCCTTCTTGTGAGCTTGTATCGTATATGTCTGCTTCCCATGCTCGCAACCTGGCGGAGCAGGAAGACAGACAGGCACTCCCGAGGAGTCTTCTGCATCCGTATTCCTCTCTTCTTGTGAGCTTGAATCGTATATGTCTGCTTCCCATACTCGCAACCTGGCGGAGCAGGAAGACAGACAGGCACTCCCGAGGAGTCTTCTGCATCCGTATTCCTCTCTTCTTGTGAGCTTGTATCGTATATGTCTGCTTCCCATGCTCGCAACCTGGCGGAGCAGGAAGACAGACAGGCACTCCCGAGGAGTCTTCTGCATCCGTATTCCTCTCTTCTTGTGAGCTTGTATCGTATATGTCTGCTTCCCATGCTCGCAACCTGGCGGAGCAGGAAGACAGACAGGCACTCCCGAGGAGACTTCTGCATCCGTATTCCTCTCTTCTTGTGAGCTTGTATGGTATATGTCTGCTTCCCATGCTCGCAACCTGGCGGAGCAGGCAGACAGACAGGCACTCCCGAGGGGTCCTCTGCATCCATCTGTGCTGAGTCGATTTTTGAGTCGACTCATGAATCGACTCAGCACAAGCAGGCAGACAGACTGGCACTCTCGAGGGGTCGTCTGCATCCATCTTCCTCTCTTCCCCAACACCCCTATCCCCACGTTGTTTGAGATTAGTTTTGAGAATTCTCAAAACTAATCTCACACCCCTATCCCCACGTTCTTGTTTTCCCCCTTTTTTTCCCACTTCCCCAGGGGCACCAAGGCGGATTTGGAGCAGGGTCCTCGCAACATGCCAGAGCGGCCTGAAAGCACCCTCTTAAACCCCTTGCTTCCCCCTTTCTTCCCCCTCCGCACCACACCCCCAGGGGCATCAAGGCGGACTTGGAGCAGGGCCCTCGCAACGTGGCAGAGAGGGCGGACAGGCACTCTCGAGGGGTGTTCTGCCACCTGGACTGGGTGTGAGTGTGACGAGCGGGATGGGTGGGCATGGGTGGGTGTGGGTGGGTATGGGTGTGTATGGGTGGGTGGGTGTTGAGTTTTGAGTCAACTCAAAAGGCATTTTTGCCACCTGGACTGGGTGTGAGTGTAACGAGCGGGATGGATGGGTATGGATGGGTATGGATGGGTATGGATGGGTATGGATGGGTATGGATGGGTGCGTGTTCGCAGGAGGTTGCGAGCAACCATTGTTGTTTGTTTTGCACGCTCATCCATACCCATCCATCCCGCAACCATTGCGGTCATCCTGATGCCGCTGTGCATGCCCTGTGTGCCCTGACCTCTCTCCGTCCCGCTCAGAACGCCCGAGGAGGAGTGGACGTTCTTCTGCCGGCGCACACAGGAGGAGGTGGCGGAGAAAACCTTTATGATGTTCTGGAGTGACATGTACTTCGTGCCGCCTCTCTACTTGGTGCCCTCCCTCGCGGTACTGCTCTTTCCGATTCTTTCTGCACTGCCTGTCTTCTCACGGCTAAGCCTGCTCTCCTGCCCGCTGATATGCCCTTTATGATGTTCTGGAGCGACATGTACTATGTGCCGCCGCACGAGGATATGGGTTCGAACCGCAGCAAACGGAGTGGTCTCCTCAAAGTTCTTAACTAACAGCTAGGAGTGTTTAGAGTGGGAAAAAGGTAGAATCGGGACTTGGTAAGTCCAACTTCAGTAAAGAACGTAGGCGTACGCGTTTCGGCCGTGAGGCCTTCGTCAGCGCTGTAGTCAGAACCTTTATGATGTTCTGGAGCGACATGTACTTCGTGCCGCCTCTCTACTTGGTGCCCTCTCTCGCGGTACTATATACTACCTACTCTCTTATTGCCACTCTGCTCCCTCAGTGCCTTTGCTCCCCCAGCAAGCACCTTTAGCTCCATGCATGCCGCTCAGTCCCTTAATGATGTTCTGGAGCGACATGTACTTCGTCCCCCACCTCTACTGCCCTCCCTGGCGGTACTGCCCTCTCCCTTTGTGCCACTCTGCTCCTTCATTCCGCTCTATTCTGCTCCCTAGCAAATACTTCTACCTCCCTTAATGCATCGCACCCTCCCATCACCCCCTCGGGTCGCCCCCATCACTGCCATCCTCTCAATCTCCTGTCCCCTCCTGCTGCAGGCTCGCCTGGAGGTACTGTTTTCGGATCGCCGCGTCTTCACACACGTTGCACGGTGAGTCACTGGCTGAAACTAGGCAAGTTTTGATGTGGCTCAAAACTCTTCTCACTTCTCACACACTGCACGGAGATTAGCTGGCCGGGTGGGCGTGGGTGTGGATTTTTCTTGTCATCTACGCGTGGGTTGAAGAAGGGTTTTGAGACACGTAGTGGACTATCTCAAAACCCTTCTCAATCACTTGTCATCTACGTGTGGACCAGATAGTGTGTGCCTTCCATGCCCTCACTGGCATCTACGTGTGGACCAGATAGTGTGTGCCTTCCATGCCCTCACTGGCATCTACGTGTGGACCAGATAGTGTGTGCCTTCCATGCCCTCACTGGCATCTACGTGTTTTCACTCACTCATCTTCTTCTCTCCTCTCTCTTCCCCCTCCAATCCTCTCCCCCCTCCGATCCCCCCGCATTCGTTCAACCAGCTACATCCTCCTGCCAGCCAACTACCTGTGGGATCGCATAGTGAGGGCCTTTCACGGCCACATGGAGCACCAGGACGTGCTAGTGGGCTTGCAGGTGAGAGGGTGGTCACTCACGTAGGTGGTTGTGCTTGCTGGTGCAGATGGTTACTTACAAAGGTGCTTACCACATGTGGGATCGCATTGTGAGGGCCTTTCACGGTCACATGGAGCATCAGGACGTGCTGGTGGGCTTGCAGGTGAGCGGAGATTATTCACTGGTGTAGGTTAGCTTACTAGGGCAGTTGCTTACCACATGTAAGATCGCATTGTGAGGGCCTTTCACGGCCACATGGAACACCAAGACGTTCTGGTGGGCTTGCAGGTGAGAGCAGGGGATTACAAGTGAGCTACGGGTGGTAACTGGTGCAGGTGGTGACTGGCGAAGGTGCTTGCTTACTAACCATCTCTGAAGCCGCGTTGTGAGGGCCTCCCACGGGCACTTGCTTGCCTGCTTTTTCCTCAACAACCCCACCACACCACACTGCCTGCTTGTTTTGAGCCGTCTCAAAGCTTTTTCCTCAACAACCCCACCACACCACACTGCCTGCTTGTCCCGCAACCCTTTCAGGTGCGCCTGCCCAGTGGACGAGACCCAGGAGGACATATTCGACCGCGTGCTTCCACATTTCCAATCATTTCCAATCTGACTGCTTATCTATCATTGGCACATCCTACACCCCCCCACCCACCGTCAGGTGCGCCCCGTGGACGAGACTCAGGAGGACATATTCGACCGCGTGCTTCCATGTTTCCCACTCTGACCGTTTATCATTGTACAAATCCTTTCTCTTTCTGCCTGCCTGCCTTCCTGCCTGCCTGCCTGCCTGCCTCTCTCTCCCCTCCTGTCCCTCCACCCAATCAGGTGCGCCCGGTGGACGAGACCCAGGAGGACATATTCGATCGCGTGCTGACGTGTCTCGTCAGCACGCAGTACCTGCCAGCTGTCATCCCACCCGACCAATGGCAGGCCATGGCTGACGACGTATGTGGGGAGGGGTGCATGGAGAGGGGCGCATGGGGTGCATGGGGGTGTGCATGGGGTGCATGGGATGCTTACATGGCCTCTATGTTGCTGTTTATGGTGTTGCACCAAAAGTACAGCAGTGTTGGTGTTACCTTTGAGGTAAAGCTCTGTTGGTGTTACTTTTGAGATTTCTCAAAAGCAACACCATCACTGCTGCAATCACTAGAATTCAAGGAGGCGTTAAGAGGCTCACAAATGAGCTGCATCGGCGGAATTTCTGCACCTCGTAAAGGCTTGAATGACGCTTGTCTCGTTCCTCTGACAGGTGGAAGACGAGGGGTTGAGAGGAGCGCACGGGCAGTCAGAGATGACTTTTGAGTCGTAGCGGCTTGAATGATGCTTGTCTCGCTCGTTCCTCTGACAGGTGGACGACGACGGGCTGAGAGGAGCGCACGGGCAGTCGATCGGTGTGTTCGTGGCATCTCTCAACGGCACCTATGGTGCTCGCCTCGTGTCGTGCCGTTGACCCCTCGCTTGCATCCCGGTGCTCTTTCTTGCCTTGTCAGGTGGACGATGAGGGGCTGAGAGGAGCGCACGGGCAGTCGATCGGTGTGTTTGTGGCATCTCTCAACGGCACGTACGGGGCTCGCCTCGTGTCGTGCCGTTGACCCCTCGCTTGCATCCCGGTGCTCTTTCTTGCCTTGACAGGTGGACGATGAGGGGTTGAGAGGAGCGCACGGGCAGTCAATCGGTGTGTTCGTGGCATCTCTCAACGGCACCTATGGTGCTCGCCTCGCCGCCCTCTACTCTCAAGGCAAACCCCAATCAGCGCACACTGTGACGTTTCACAGGTGGGTGAAACATATGCCTCTTGTTTTGAGACGTCTCAAAACTGTCTCACAATGGCTCCTATGCCTCTCGCCTTGCTGCCCTCTACTCGCAAGGCAAACCGCAATCAGCGCACACTGTGACGTTTCACAGGTGGGTGAAATGTATGCTTTAACCTGACATATGGAGGCTAACCGGATGTTAATAATTGACTTGTGTGGGTGAAATGTATGCTTTAACCTGAGCGCTGGAGGCAAACCGCAATCAGCAGCATACACTGTCACCTTCTGTTATCACACATGTGTGCTTCTCACTGCTCCATCCTTGTTCCAAACCTTACTTGTAGGCAATCCGCACTCAGCTACGCAACTCTCAAACGGTCCTTTGTATTGATGCGGATGTGGGTACATGCAAAGGCAACACTCAGCTAAACCTCTCTCCCCATCTCTCTCCCTCTGCCTCTCCCCTCCTCCTCTCCCCTCCCCTTGCGCTGCAGCGAGTCTCATGACTCAACGGAGAGGCAGGACGACAGGCAGCAGTACGCATCAGCGCTCGTCGAGATGTTTCTCCTCTCCTTCTCTCACCGCCTCGTTGTCTCCGACTACTCCACCTTCGGGTACGTCAGGTCGCAGGCGCTGCGCTTTCATGTTGCGGGCGCTGCGCTTTCATGTTGCGGGCGCCTAATGTAGTGGTCTTCTCTGCACTGGTCAACATATTCCTTCCTTTCGGTTCCTTCTCTCACCGCCTCGTGGTCTTCTCTGCACTGGTCAACATATTCCTTCCTTTCGGTTCCTTCTCTCACCGCCTCGTGGTCTTCTCTGCACTGGTCAACATATTCCTTCCTTTCGGTTCCTTCTCTCACCGCCTCGTGGTCTTCTCTGCACTGGTCAACATATTCCTTCCTTTCGGTTCCTTCTCTCACCGCCTCGTCGTCTCCAACTACTCCACCTTCGGGTAAATCATCTCTCTGCTTCCTGAATCTCTCAAGAGTTCTGAGCTGCTGCGCTCATCGAGATGTTCCTCCTCTCCTTCTCGCACCGCCTCGTCGTCTCCGACTACTCCACCTTCGGGTACGCCGTCGCTGCACGTCCCGAAACATCTCGAAATGTTTTGAGACTCAAAACTTCTGAGGTTCTGAGAATGTCTCAACAACTCAATCACCGCTCGTCGAGACATTCCTCCTTTCCTTCTCGCATTGCCTCGTCGTCTCCGACTACTCCACCTTCTGGTATGCCCCCGCTGTGCATTCTGCACCGCCGCTGTGTTTTTTGCCCCACCGGTGCGCGTTTTGAATCGCGGCTTTAAGTTGCTTTCGAGGCGCCTCAGGAATAGCGAATCCTTGAAAACACAAAAACACTCAAAACACTCTCCTGAACCCGTCCCCTCCTTGTTCCCCTTCAGGTACACGGCAGCAGCACTGGGTGCGCTGGACCCATGGTCGCTAAACATCGTGAAGCGGGAGGGGGCGGACTGGCGCCGCAACAACCGCCCCGTCTGCCAGCGCACCGAGTCACAGCCCTGCTCCCTCTCCATCCGACCGAAATTCACGGTGAGCCCTCTTTAGCTCGCCGTCTACGTCACGGTGAGCCCTCTTTAGCTCGCCGTCTACGTCACGGTGAGCCCTCTTTAGCTCGCCGTCTACGTCACGGTGAGCCATTTTTAGCTCGCCGTCTACGTCACGGTGAGCCCTCTTTAGCTCGCCGTCTACGTCACGGTGAGCCCTCTTTAGCTCGCCGTCTACGTCACGGTGAGCCCTCTTAAGCTCGCCGTCTACGTCACGGTGAGCCCTCTTTCTCCCCGTCTACGTCACAGCCCCGTCTCTCTGGTTTTGCTCTCCACGTCCAATCAAACTTCACGGTGAGTTCTCCCTCCCTCTTTAGCTCGTTCTCGTTTTGGGCCTCCCTGTGCTCCAGTGCCCTGACGGTGACTTGCAAATGAAAGAGAGCGCAAGTGCTCTAGAGAAGATTGTCATGAGCTCTATTCCGCGCTAACACCTCCCGCCCTTGCCCCCATGCTGCCCCCATGCTGCCCCCATGCTGCCCCCATGCTGCCCCCCTGTGCCCCCCTATGCTGCAGTGCCCTGACGGCGACTCACACACGACAGAGAGCGAAGTGTCATTCGTGCGGTCGTGCCCTGTGATTGGTGCCGGGCTTCATTTGGAGCTCCCTCCTCTTCCCGACTCCTCGTGAAGCGTGCCACTGCCAAGTGCTTTTAGGACTTGATTCAAAGCTGCCTCCCCCATCCGAATCCGCGTGAAGCGAGCGACTGTCTACTGCCCTTGTTTCACCAAATCACTCTTGAGAATTCTCAAAGGAGTTTCGCTGGCAGCTGCCTCGGCCACGCAGAATCGCGCGTGAATTGAATCGGCCGCTGCTTCCTGGGATCACCTTTGGGAATTCTCAAAAGTGCTTCGCACTTGGAGCTGCAAACAAGCAGTGTGATGCGTTGTTGTGTGCTGCTGTGTGCCTGTACCTTGCCTACCTACAAACAACCCTACCTACAGTCCCTACCTGTATGTATGCTATATATATGCAACTAGCATAATCTTATCGTATGAAACCAAGTTCCAGCCTTCCGATCACTCATGAGCCTGATGTTGTGTACCGGTACTCAACTCAAACCCGTAGACAGCAGTGCTTTATAACCAACACCGCAGGGACAAGAAGGTAGCATATGCAAGCTTGTGTTTTCTTACGTCCAGATCTGCAAGTGAATTATAAAACACCTTTGCCTACATACTACAGTATCACCGTGTCGTGTTGGTTCGGTGTGAACCAACCGACCAAATCCTGCTGAACCAGGATTGCACTACAAAGCACACATTCAGCAACCCTATCATACATTGTATGGTACCGTATGGCCCCGGATATAAGCGCATATGCGCTTATAATAAATTCTTTTTTTTTAGGGGTGGCGCTTGTAATTGAGGAACGGCCATAAGCGCCGGCGCTTTTATAATGTCAAAAATGTTTTTTGATTTTTAAGGCACGAAACTGAAGCCCTCAATAAGGCGAACAAGACCATGCACTGTGCAGGTGGGCTCGTGCATGAAAACGCGCCGAAAGCAGTCGCGACACGATTTCCCACCGCACAAAGGCCGTCCCTGTGCAACGCACCGGCCAGCGATGACGTGCATCCTGCCGTGCGGCCCAATAGGGTTTACATGCGCTGCCAGGGTGCCACATTTCACCCGAACGTTCGAGAAGGGGGTGGAATTTGCCTGCCAGCGCAGCGGATACGTGCCGCGATTCCCTCCTCTGCGGGTTTAGTCAGGGGGGGATCTGACTATGCCTGAAGAGGAACTCGAGCCGCACACTAGAAGGGGTCCCCTCCAAACCCTCATTTCTTCTCCTTCTCTTTCACTTTTTTCATTCAGATTCTTGGTCTCGCCCGCCATGCTGCGGAAGCCATGGCGGAATTCTCAGGCACTCATTTCTTGTTCAAGAAGAAGCCCGCGCGTAGGCCCGCCTTCGTAGTCGACGTCGACGAATGGTACTCCCGTGTCCCTGCTGAACCACCAGAGCCACCACAGCCTCCGTCGCCTCCTGCGCCGCCTGCTCCTCCTGCTCCTCCTTTGCCGTCTGCGCCTCCTGCTCCTCCTATACCTCCGTCCCCTCCTATTCTGGATTCTCCTCTGCACACAGGGGATCCGCCCGTGCTCACGCTCCTGCACCCGACTGCGTTCGACGAGTGGCTGGAGGAACCACCAAGCAACAAGGCCCCAGATGTTGAGGTACCTGGCGAACCTTACACTGGACCACGTTGGGGCCGGCCCGATGATTGCAGCACGTGGGACGAATCTGCAATCGGAGCTGACGACGACGTGGCTGAGGACGAGGAAGCGAGCCCTGCTGACGGCGACGAGTCTGCGGAAGCTGGCGCGCAGGGCGGAACCGCAGAGGATGTGTTTCCTGAGGGTGTACCTGGTGGCGACGACGACGACGGTGTCGAATACTGGTCACGTGACTGGCTCCCCGAGGAACTGCCGATACCTTCCTTTCCACCAGCTAACCGCAAACGACCCCACCCGTCTACCCAGAACCGTGATGCCCGCCCCCCCTCTCCCAGGCACAAGATCAGCGAGCGCAAGCGCAAAGGCTACACCGCTGCGGAGAAGTTGAAGTACGTCGCGATGCTGGATGCGGCGAAGTCGGTGCGTGCACTAGCTCGGGCGAGTGGGATTCACCGGAAGTGTCTCGCCAACTGGAAGGCGGCTGCAGCTTTCCTCAAAGAAGCACACACCGGTCGCAAGCGCATGCACGGTCGCGGGCGGGCCTCGTGGTACCGCCCCATGGAGATCAAGGTGTACGAGCGGCTTCTGGACTGGCGCCGCAGAGGAACCGCCGTGTCGGTCGGCCGTCTGCGGGAGTGGTCGAGGGAGTTCATGAAGATCCTCTACCCGGACGTCAAGTGGAGCGGGAGTCAGAGATGGTCGGAGCGGTTTCGGAAGCGGTGGAATCTGAGCGTACGCATGAAGACTCGCGTTGCTCAGAAAACAGCCGCTCGTAAGATTACGCCCCATGCTTTTACCGTTCTGTCTAAGTTTCGGCCTCCCTTACTAATCTGCCCTCTATCCCGCCCGCCTTTTCCCCCGTCTAACAGATGTTGCGCAGCAGTGCCAGAACTTCTGGCGTTTTGTCCGAGACATGCGTCGCGCGCGCGGCATCGAGACTACCTGGATCCTCAACGCTGACCAGACGCCGCTCTGGCTGGAGATGCCCGCCACCACGACCGTGGATCAGACGGGCGTACGGTCGGTGCCCATCCGGAGTGCAGGTTACCAGAAGGAGCGTGTGACCGTGATGCTGGCGTGCACGGCGGACGGGGCGAAGCTCAAGCCGTGGGTGTTTTTCAAGCGGAAGACGCTGCCGAAGGGCGACTTTCCTCGGGGTAATAAGCAGCAACTACCACTGTTTTACCGTGTGTTTTTGTTTATCGTGCCACGCTAACAGTTTAAGTGCCATGTGTGTGTGCAGATGTGGTCGTGGCTTGCCACGAGAACGGGTGGATGAACGCTGACGGCGTCATCCGCTGGCTTGAGGACGAAGTCAAGCCCTTCTTGAAGCCCCGGTTTGGCAGGTGTGCGAAGAGCTCCATGCTCGTGCTGGATTCCTACCGCGGCCACCTTACCGATGGGGTGAAGGAGAAGCTCCGCGAGATCAACTGCGTGCCTGCAGTCATCCCGTCGGGCTGTACGGCTGAGGTTCAACCGCTCGACGTCTCCATCAACAAGAGCTTCAAAGCTTCTGTTCGCCAGCAGTACCAGAAGTGGTTTGAGGAGGTGGGCCAAGAGCAGCTGACAGCAGCAGGTACGTTGTTTCCTTTATCAACGCATGCTTAATCCCCCCCTCACCTTTGGATGCTGACTCGGCTTCCCCGGGTGTCTCTGTTGTGGTGCAAGGAATCTCAAGAAGCCCCCCCCAGAAGTGATCCTTCGATGGATTTCACGGGCCTGGAAAGCAGTCCCCTCCGACCTCATCAAGCGCGCCTTTCTCACCTGCGGCATTAGCAACGCCCTTGACGGCAGTGAGGACCACCTCGCCATGGCGCACAGGCGGAGCCAGCTGACGGCAGAGGTGGATGTAGACGACAGCATCGTCGCCGACGGCTTCTTTGGCAACAACTGCCAGGAGGCCGAGTCTGACGAGGAGTAGGTAGTTCTGCGCTTCAACTAGGTAGAATAGCGCATCTAGTGGAAAGTTGTGTAACAAACTGTAGTGGTTGTTGAAGCGAACGATGCTTTAGTTTGCTTTTGTTGTGATTAAAAAATAGTTTTTTTAAATGATGGTGGCGCTTATAATAAGGAAGGGTACAAAAAGGGGGGCGCTTATAATCGAGGAACGGCCATAGGCGCCATGCTCCAGATAGAAGCGCCGGCGCCTGTAATAGGCCGGCGCCTATATCCGGGGCCATACGGTACAAGCTGCAATGCAGCCTAATGGTATCAGGCTGGAAAGAAGGCCTCGCGAATCCCTGCAGCTAGTCCGTTCCATCTCGTGTCATGCAGAAGAGGACTGCACCGCACTGAACCCATTCCATCCCAGGCACTCTCACGATGCCCAAGAGCGCACTGCATTGCACCGTCCTCCCCAAATCATTCTCGAACGCTAAGCTCAACCCTTATTTCAAAATTGTCCCAAGCTGCCTCACAGCACTCCACACACATTTCCTCCCTTTCACTCAGACTGTTTCTGTGCAGAGTGGAACCCTCGAGAGAAAATATTGAGAATTCCAAGAAATAGTCCGTAATAATTCCAACAAGCCCTTCTGTACAGAGTAGAAACCGCACACCTTCCGAGCTAACTCCCAACTCCCTTGTCCCACGCACCACTCCCCCTAACACTTCTCATTCATCCCTCCTCAAGCCCCGTTTCAGCTGTTTGTCATTCTTCTTCTCCCCCTCCACTTCACCCTCATGGCATCGCCTCAGAGTCCGCTTCGCCAGCACCTGCTCGTCCTGCCAATCAAGCGCCGCCAGGTCACCAACGGTGTCATTCCGGTGGAATCTGAGCCCTTCATCTGTGAACACTGCATCTCCGTGCCGCTCTGTGAAGCACTGTTCAGCCGCATCAGAGCCTGCATCAGAAGGCATGGAGCCTTCAGCAGCAGTGGTGACACCAGGCGTGACAGCAGTGTCAGCCGTATGTAACATCGCATCAGTGCTTTGGTCGTTGCATCGGCCCGAGTCCACACCAGTGCTTTGCTCATTCAGCTCTCCACTGCTGCAGCTCTCACTGCTACTCTCTCTGTTGCTGTTAGCGCTGCTGTTGCTGCTGTTACTGTTCCTCCTGCTGCTGCTGCTGCTGCTGCCGCTGCTGGTGGGGCCTTGGGTTCTAACCAGGGGTTCAAAAACCACGGGAGGGGGAGGGGAATTTACAGGGGCGCTGCTGTTGCTGCTGCTGCGGCACCTGTTGTCTTTTGAAGCCTCTTGGGAAGATCGCGCAGCTTTGACCTCGTCTCCAGTCGAGCCAGCCAAACCAGTCAAACCAGTCAAACCAGTCAAACCAGTCAAATCAGTTGAAGCAGCCGAACCAGTTGAAGTAGCTTTCATTGCCACGCACTGCCCAACCTCTCCGGCTCCGGCAGGTTCTCCCGAGCCGGCTTCTCCCCGGCCAGGGCATGGCAGGTCTGGGATCAGGTTCGGCAGCGAGGTTCGGAGGAAGAGCACCACAGCGGTGCAGTCGTCTCGCCGAGCCTTGGGATACTTGGCCGCCCAGGCCTCCTGCGCTGAGGTCACCAGGCGCTCTGCTGACGTGGCAGGGGATGGTGACGTGGCAACGATGGAGACAGCCTCTTCATGAGAGAGCACATCCCACACCTGATGGGGAGAGGAGCGGGGGAGGGGGGAGAATGAAGAGAGACTTGTTTAGCGACTACAAATGAAGGGTAGAGAGAGATAGGGATATAACGATGAACTTGGCAATGGACGGATAGGGCAATGGAGTGACATTGTTAGAGAGTACACATGAATTCTGGTCAGAAAACGTTTCCGTACCCCGTCGGTCGCCAGGATGACAAATTCGTCTCCATCTTCCACTGGTAACACGGTAACATCAGGCTCGCATGTCACTCCGAATCCTTTCAGCAGGAAATCGCCCACCGCCCGGGACGTGACCAGCCCCGGGGCCATCTCATTGGGCAGCCAGATCCTCATGATGTGCTTCTCGTCCTCTAGCGCCTCCACTCTGCCGCCCGCTTTCCTGATCCGGGCGGCCTCCGCCGGATCGGAGCACTTGTGGTCAGCAGTCAGGGCGACGGCCTCGAGAGCGTGACAGCTGGCAGGAGCCTGACAGCTGGGTTGATCTGATTGGTGGTGCTGGTGGTGGGTTGGGCCGGTCGCGATGGTTCCAACTACCTTGGCTGACGTGGCAGCATGACAGGGAGCCACGTCAGCAGGTGACGTGGCGTTGCAAGAAGCAGGCAAGTGTGCTCGTCTGGCCAGGACGGCGCGGGAATCCCCGAGGTTGGCCAGAAAGAGATGGTCGTGCTGCCAGGGGGGAAAACGGGGGGGGGGGGGGGGGGGGGGGGGGAGGTGTGGGGGGTAGAGAGAGAAGACTTTTGAGTCGACTCAAAAGTCACCTTGGCCAGAAAGAGATGGCCGTGCTGCCAGGGGGGAAAACGGGGGGAGGGGAGTGAGGGATAGAGAGAGAAGGGCGGGGTGAGGAGGAGAGAGGGGAAGAGATGAGGGTGAGAGAGTGAAGAACGGGTGAGGTGGTGGAATGAAGAGCGGAAGAAAAGAATGATGAAAGAATGATGACGGGAAGTGCAAGGCCGACTCACTTGCACCATCGCCACCACCGCTGTGCTGCCACTGACGAGCGGATCAACGGCCGGATGCAGCTTCACCTCACGATCAACGGCCTCAAACGCGCCGCGCACGGCCTCCCTCCACTGCTGCTCCGCCACGTGTGCAGCGCCCCCCACTGATCCGTCATCACCACGCAACGATGCGGCGAGAGCATCATACGGCGATGAGGCATCAGCACCATTGGCGTGCGGGAAGAGGCGCTGCGAGAGCTGAGAGGGGACGGAGTCCCTCACGCGTGCCGACACTGTGTGGCCGAAGCGGCCATGGCCGTCCATCACGGCGCACAGCACGGAGGCAGGGCCCGCGAAGGACTGCAGGTGGGAGTGGGATGGGAGGGAAGGGGGACCGGAGGGGAAGGGAAGGGAGAGACTTGTGAGGCGCCTTGAGAGAAGCGGCCATGGCCGTCCGTCACGGCGCACAGCACGGTGGCTGGGCCCCCCGAAGGGCTGCCAAGGGAGGAAGGGAGGGGATGGGGGATTGGGAAGGTAAGGAAGGGAAGGGGGGCGGTATGACGAGCTCGAGGATAAAAGAGGAAAGAAGGCGAGGGGGGAACAAGGGGGAACTGCGGGAAGGAAGAGCGAGAGGGAATAGGGGAAGGCTGAAATCGATTGTAACGTATTACCCTAACTACCGAGCTAACAACCATCGATCTCTCTCTAAGTCAATTGTTGAGAACTTCTCTCGACAAAGGAAGAGTTGGAGAAGATGGTTGAGTTGGTTGGGATGAAACTTGGTTTGGGTTTGCCAAGCCTCAACTTTGGAGGTTTGGAACATTTCCAACTCAACCAAGAGAATGTTGAAGGTTGGAATTCCAACCAATCAGAAACTGCCAAACAAGTGTTACAATCTACTCTATCCTAACCACAACCATTGAATGGTTCTAAGTTGGGTTTTCCAACCCAACACAATTGCCACATAGGCTCCAAGCCTAGGAACCATCCCACCATGGAAACCATGGTTGGGATAGTTCCCCAAGGGGTGTATTGAGGGGGTCTGAGCTAAGCAAGCTCATTCTCAACCTCCCACTCCAACTAAACAATTGGAAAGAGCTAGTTAGAGCTTCAACTTGTATTGAGATTTATTATAAAAGCATTGTAACTCCATTATAATAGCCTTGGGTGTTACATCGATGAAGGGTGTGTACCTGCCATGCGACCATGCAGTCTTGGTTGATGCCTTTCTGTCCGCCCAGGGAGAACATGCTGCAGTGCAGCTGCATCCCACCACCACCACCGCCGCCGTTGCTGCTGCTGCTGGTGCTGGTACTACTGCGTTCACTGCTGTTGTCGCTGCTGCTGAAGTTTTCGCTGCTTGTGAAGTCCGTGTCCGACGTGGCGCGCAGCACACGTGGCACAAACCCATTTGCCGTCCCCCGATTTGTCAGCTGTGCCAGCAGGTCGTCCCGCTGCTGCTCCGCCGCCAGATAAGCCGCCACGCGGCGCTCCCTCTCCTTGCTGCTCGCAGCGTCGCCCTTCGACCCTGCGAAGGTGGAAAGGTTAAGGATCGCATTTGTACTGGTTAGAATTGGTGCAAATGCCAAGACGCCAAGATGCGCGATAAGCGGGCCCTTCCAAAATCCCGAACCTAAACTTGAGTAGCACACTCTGACACAGCGGATGCTGGGGGGTACTACTAACGAGGATAGTGGTAGTATCCTTGTCCGAGACTGCTACACGTAACACGTTACGCGCTACACGCACCACGCACCCACAACGCATACTCCGCCATGCACCCGCCCGCGCACACCTGAAAGAGAGCCACTTTGCAGCGGCTCGCCCTTCCGCCGCGTCTCGCGGCGTCGCTCGCGCGTGGATATGCGACAGTCGCCGTCGTCGTTGACGGACGAAAAGCAGTTTCCCATTGTGCGCTGGCGGTTCCGGCGAACTTCAACGACAGAAGGTGCGACGATACTAATTTGGGAAAGTCGTCGTTGGTAACCCCAAGGTACCGAGGATGGGCGGAGAATGCGACTAGCTTGAAGCGTCAATCCTACAGTCTTTACGAATGGGACGCAGTGTTTAAATTCCCTGAATTCTGGACAACTGAACGCTCTTGGTAAGCAGGTTGAACTGTTGGCAGCAATAGTTTCTGAGGCTGCCTGCCTGGTCAGCTCAATCGCTGATAGACTTGCTCAGTGCAGCTGTTTCTAGCAGATGGAGTTGGATGTAAGAGCAGGCAACCACTAGAACTGTACACTGGAGGACTTCAAAGGCAAATCCATCCACTCGTGTGCTGCACTGTAGCCGGGAAGTAAGGAGGAAGCTTGCCAGAAATAAAGGGAAATAAGGGACCACAGAAACGATCTCGCAGGAAACGGGCCAGAACCAGCCGTCCTCTTTGTCGCCACGCGGCTCCTACATGAGGCCTAGAAAGTGGTATAAAATTCGAGGTCAGGCTGTCGGTGAGAGTAGTGAACTGCGAAACGAGAGGGCAGGGTGATTGGGAAGAGGAACAGGTCCAAGAATATGGCGACTGGTTATGGATGTGGCGATTAACGACTGCTAGGAACGCGAGGGGACAACATAACACGTGGTGGGGTCGCAAGTGCTAAGATTATGGGACACGTAATACTATGTGTACAGTATAATCCTGTGGTCTGGGCTCGGGAGACCAGCGACATGAAATCGCGATTTACACCCGTATTAGCGAAGTCAACTTGTTGCAGGTTTGGGGCTGACCCCTGGCCCAATGGCAGTGGGTAGAGGGTTACACGGTCCGATTCGCGAGTGAAACAACTGTGTGGGCGATCGGCTGTGTCCCGTGGGCAATGGCCCGTGGGCTTGCTGGAGTTGCATTGCATTGCATATATGGGCTCTGGGCTGGTCTCACTTTCTGCTGTTGGGCCATGATCCCTGGGAGAAGTGAAGTGGCAGCACGGCAATCTCGAGGCCTGGATTCGCTGCTGTACTTGACCGGCTAATGCTTATCGTCCAATCGCCTCGGCGCCCGCCTCGTCCAACTGGTAACAATCGTCTGTTGGCGCTGTGGTGGGTCCAGGATCTGTGGTCAGGATGAGAAGGCTTGCTGAATCGACGTTGTAGAAACGGTCTGTCTATGTACAGTGGTGGTGTAATAAGTCAGTACCTGCGGTTGCGGGGTTCGGCTGCTTTCTTATGCAGTCACTTTGGTGCAATTCTAACACCTTGGGATATACGGTACAGAAGTTGTATATTTTGCTCTCTCATTCTCCTTAGGGCAAAGTTTCTGCCAAATTCTTAATATGTAAGCATTATTTCTGACCTTTAAATGAGAAATGTATTATAAAAATATTTTTGAATTCTGTGTAAAATATTTTCTTACATAAAAAACACTGATACACCTATGTTGGTATGCAGAACATCATTTTCTGCTTTGTATTGTATTCCTTGATATAGTGTTTGTTCCACCTCTGTTAGGCCCGACGGCCTAAATCCGCTAAAGAATTAGCGGGGTCGACTAAGTCGAGGATGAAACGCGGCGGAAGACTTTGGCGAAAGAACTATTGGCGAAATAGGCGAAGAAGTTACTGAGTAATTGAAGAAGAGTTGAATGAGAATTGGTTGATAATACCAAGTACAAGCAAGGTTTAAGTAGCATGCAAGAAACAAGGTCGGAAAGTAGATTGTGGGACTAGGAATTGTGAAGCTAGAAAAGTAGAGTGCCACGTGGCACTAGAGAATCTGAGAAGATAAGGATAAGTGTGAATTGGAAAGTACTGTTCGGAATGAACAGTAAATCCCCCCTTAACACTACCCCCCTCCCAAGGAGGCGACGTCCGCGGCGCCTGCAGACTGGAGGTACGCTTGGAGGCAAGCGTTGTCAGGAGACAGTGAGGACGAAGGAACCCAGCTGTCGTCCGCTGCGTCGTAACCACGCCAACGAACCAAGAAGTCGATGAAAGAGACACCCCCCTGAAGACGGCGACGGTGCCTGAGGATGCGCTGGATCTGGTAGTCGGGCTCGTCGGTGTCAACAGCTACCGGCAGTGGAGTGCGGTCACGGCCCGAGAAGGTGGCGTTGGGATCGGTGTAAGGACGAAGAAGCGACACGTGGAATGACGGGTGCATGCGGAAATGAGCGGGAAGGCGGAGGCGGTATGCGACTGGACCAAGTGCGCGCTCAATGACGAATGGACCAATGAAACGTGGACGAAGCTTGCTGTCCTGTGGCAGTCGAATGTTGCGGATATCCAAGAGAACACGGTCGCCGACTGTGAACGACACCTCACGACGACTGCGGTTGGTGGTGCGTGCCATGCGTGCATTTGCGAGCTCAAGGTGCTTCCTCACGTGATTATGGATGAATGTGAGATGCTGGTGGAAGTTGTCCGCACGAGGGACAGTGGGTGTGAGATCGACACGAGTGGGGACATTGGGGTGCTGACCGTACAGTGCGAAGAACGGTGACATGCCTGTGGCGGAGTGGTGCGTGTTGTTGTATGCGAACTCTGCCATGCTCAGCTTCTTGTCCCATGCGGCTGCGTCGTGCATCGTGATGCTGCGAGGAATCTGCTCCAAGGTCTGGTTCACACGCTCAGTCTGTCCGTCTGTCTCTGGATGGTACGCAGACGACATGGCTAAGCGAGTCCCAAACAGTGCGAAAAGCTGCTTCCAGAACTTCGAAGTGAAACGAGGGTCGCGGTCAGAGATGATGGAATCTGGAACCCCGTGCAGTCGGACTACGTTATCTACGAACAGCGTCGCGGCTTCCTCTGTTGTGACCTTGCCGTGCGTGGGGATGAAATGCGCTGCTCGAGAAAACTTATCCACTACCACGAAGATGGCGTCATGACCCCTAACTGTGCGCGGTAAAGCCATGATGAAGTCCATGGTAACTACCTGCCAAGGGCGGTCGGGCGGTGGAATCGGCTGCAAGAGTCCTGCCTTGCGCTGGCGAGAGGACTTCGTACGCTGACACGTGTCGCACGAGCGAATGTAATCCTCTACGTCTGCTGCAAGCCCGGGCCAGTAGTACGTGCGACTAAGCGTCTTAGCCGTCTTATCTGCTCCAAAGTGACCTGCACTAACTACGTCGTGCGCCTCTGAGAGAAGGAGCTGTCGAAGAGGGCGGTAGGCAGGAACCCAAATCCGTGTGGTACCCTTCCGTATGTAGACACTACCCTGCACCTCTGCTCCTGCGGGCGGCTGCTGTGTGAAGTCGGGATCTACTGTGTAACCGTGCTCGAAGAGTGCTGTGAGAAGTGGATGGCCGGCAGTGACTGTGAGGCTAGCGAGCTGGCAACTAGGGCGAGTGAGCGGATCTGCTGGGTTGCGCACGCCTGGCTTGTACTCTATCCTGTAGTGGAAACTCCCCTCCATGAACTCCATCCATCTAGCCTGGCGACGACTCAGCTGCGGCTGCGACTTGAGAAAACGAAGCGAACAGTGGTCCGTGCGTATAACACTATCTGCCCCCTCTAGGTAGCACCTCCACACCTTATACGCATGGATGATCGCGAGCGCTTCCTTGTCGTGAATCGGATAGTTCAGCTCCGCTCCCCTAAGCTTACGCGACTCGTACACGATCGGCTGCAACCCGCGTCCCTGGTCCTGAAGAAGCACTGCTCCTATGGCCTGATCTGAAGCGTCGGTCACTACAACGTATGGGCGAGTGGGATCAGGGTACGACAGTGTCGGTGAAGACGTGAGCGACTGCTTCATCTGCTCGAACGCCTGCTGCTGCGCTGGACCCCAAACGTATTCTACGCCCTTCCGAAGTAGGTCGGTGAGTGGACTAGCGATCGATGCGTAACCCTGAACGAAACGGCGGTAGTAATTTGCGAATCCGAGGAAGCTCTGCAACTCCTTGACTGAGGTCGGTGCTACCCAATCCTGTACTGCTGCGATCTTCTTCGGGTCGGTCCTAATGCCACTAGCGGAAACGACGTGACCTACAAACTCGACCTCCGGGAGGAAGAACTCGCACTTCGACTGCTTCGCGTACAACTGCTCCCTCCTCAAGACCTCAAAGACCTTCTGCAAGTGTTGCACGTGCTCCTCCTTCGTCTTAGAGAATACTAGGATGTCGTCCAGGTAAACTACAACGAACGACCCTAGGAACTCGGAGAGGACGGTGTTCATAAGCGTCTGAAACGTCGCTGGGGCGTTGGTCAATCCGAACGGTAGAACCCTAAACTCGTACAACCCCTGCTTCGTACGGAACGCCGTCTTGTGCTGGTCCTCTGGAACTACGCGAATCTGGTGGTAACCCGAACGAAGGTCGATCTTGGAGAAAACTCTAGCACCCTACACTGCATCTAGGAGATCCTCTACTCTCGGCACCGGAAACCTATTCTTGACGGTGGCGGCGTTCAGTGCGCGGTAATCTATGCACATCCGTAACCCTCCGTCTTTCTTGGGTGCGAAAAGGATTGGTGCTGCCTAAGGCGATCTAGATGGCTGAATGAAACCCTGCGCGAGAAAATGCCTAACCTGCTGCGTCATCTCTTCTGTCTCTGCTGGACTCAACCTCCACTGCGGCTTCGCTACTGGCCTGCTCCCCGGCTCTAACTCTATCCGATGGTCGACTGCTCGGCTAGGAGGTAACCCTGGGGGCAACTCGTCGGGGAAGACGTCTCTAAACTCCGCTAAGAGTGCACTCACTTCAGCAGGAAGAGTTGTCTTATTGCCAACTGCTGCGCTCCCTCCTTTCCCCTTCTCAGCTTCCACCTCCTCAAGGAAAACCGCGAAGATCCGCGCCGCACGCTTCACTAACTGTCGCACACGAACAGCATTAATGATAGCTGCGGAGGATGTGGCCGCATCGCTCCACTGTGGCAGCTCCCGGAACTCGCCATCTACCTTGACGCTGCAGCTTCCCTGAGCCCAATCGAACTGAGTACTGACCGTCCGCAACCAATCTCTACCGAAGATGAAGTCGTAA